AGATATTAATTAGGTGCAAAGTTAACGATTTTATGAATAGTTAAAATCCGAAAAACTAATTATAAAAATAATACTTATTTTTTGGTTTTTGGTTAGTTTGATGAGTGATTGAGGAAGTTTATCCCGTATTACACTTTTTCTACGACTATTGGTTTTTGAGTACATTTTCGCGAAACAGCACGAATATATTCACTTGTGACGTGTCACATAACTGATAAATGTCTGAATACCATGGATAAAATCCCAAATGCGCAAGGTAGCTTGCTACAGTGTTAGCCGACGTTTTTAAGTGATATTTTCTGCACAATTAGGTTTTGAAGCAAAAAAAATGAATTTTAAAGATAATCGACATTAACATAAATATGAAAGCACGAACTTAAACGCATGCAGACACAAACTGCAGTGATACCAAATCCGTTTTATTTCTATAAAATTTAAAAAACCGAAGTGAAAAGAGCTATTAATGAAATGGTACAAAAATTATCAATATTTCATTAGATTTAGCTAAATTGTTGAAGAATAGTAGTTTCTCTATAGCTTTTAAAATAAACAATACACTAAAGCAATTTCAAGTGAAAGTCGAAGATCTTGTGGATTATTTTTCTTAATCAGATATGTGTTCTCTGAAGTGTGAAGACTGCAATGCCTTTACATCGTCTACTGATAGAAACATTTATACTCGGATTTATATCAGACTTCACCAACGTTTGTTAGTTTGTTGACAAAGTGAAAGGAAAGGTGTGCCAGAGAACTAATCAGCTTTCGCTACTCATCTTTTGTCTGCTGATCAATAAAAATATAACTATTCTATATAAGTAAAAAACTTGATCTGCTGGACAAATTAGTTATCACCAAAGCCAAGAAGAGTCCTATCCTTGATGGCGTAAATGTCGTGTTTAATTTTGAGTCGGCATTAATTTTTGATTCGCTCTCATTCCAATTTGGGTCTGTATGCGTTCAAGTTAACGCTTTTGTATATTCGGCTTTTACTGAATTTATGTTACCTACATGATTGATAACGTCGGTGTGGGCGAACCAAGTATAACATTTTTATTGAATATTTTTCTTCATAAAATGCTTAAGTTTGTCAAATTATTTAATAATAATTTAGTACTATAATTTTTCAAAGCAACTTCCACAGTTCAGTTCAGTTGAGTTCAGTTCAGGCAAGCTCTGAAGAAGCCAACAGGGTGATTGGCGAAGCGTCAGTAAATTCGACTCAGCAAAAACCGACGCAGGAGGAGTACAGAAGTTTTGTAAAAAGTAATTAGGTACTATAATAATATCAGTTAACAAATTCTTGTTGAAAAATTGGCAGCGTTTATTTTCAGGTAATGGTTAGGGTTATCTTGACGCTGTGATGAACGAAAGAATATTAGCGAAGCGCAGAAAATTATTTCATTGATTATATACCAAAGTTTGAAACGTGCTCTTATTGCAGCTCCAGCATAAAGACGTGTGGAGTGTGGCTTATGTCATTTAATGAATGACTCGTCCTCTATAATCTCATTGAGCTGTCTGAAAGATCGAATAATAAGGCAGGTCCACAATCTTTTAGTCATCGTATAGTTATTGACCTGAATTGTTTAGGTGAAGAGTCAAATGTTCGCATAGCGATTAATATATGGACTCGATAGCGTATTTATGGCTTGTGGAATTGCTCTTCACTGACGTTTTATATTTTGATTGGTTTCTATTCCGGTGCGCGAGCAATTCTCTCCGATTTTGCCTATTTACTTTTATCGATTCTTGTGGTCAATAACCATTTGCGTTTCGTGCGTGTCTCTTCCGCCCTAATAACAATGCATGCTTTGGGCATTGCATTATAGATCTCTAGTTTCCCTTGGGGTGAATTTGCCCCACGCAATAACCGCAGCGTACAGATGTAGATTTTTACGTGCGGTATATTATTTTAAACATATACAGATTATTTAGCTGTGTTTTTGTCGCCTAATCACCACCGACCTCTTCAGGTGATTGTAGACGTTTCATATTTTCATTATATCGTAATAAGGACATTAAAGGCTAGACGAGGTTCGAAGATGTTTCAAGTTAAGAGGATCAGTGTTGTCACGGCTACTTAGAAAGTTGTATAATGAAAAGAAGAAGAAAAAAAAAACAGATCGCAAGCGGTTGAATTTATATTTTTTTAAATTGCTGAGAGGTAAAATTCTAAAGTGATATTCAATGTGGTTACGCTTTTTACAAAATAAAAACAAATTCTACGGACCAAGGGCGAACGATAACGCGGAATTGCCAATGTCATTAGACACTAGTCCGGGAATCGTGCTAAATTCTAAAAATTATCAAGAGAGGAAAATGTTGATACGTAGATGAGCGGAAAATATACAAAACCTTTGAAGAAACCAGTAATGGGTAGTTTTTGGTAAAAGTATTTTAGCCTTTTTTTTTGTTTAGCGGATTTGTTACTAAAGTAATAAATTTTATCTCTTTTTTTTTTACTTTTCATGAAGTGTTGCGCAGTTCTTTGAACAACAAAATGTCTTGTTATGAATGTATATGTTTTCGGCCAAACCCGATTTCAAGCCAAATTAGTTTGTCCTAGGCCAAATAAGGCTCTTAAAAAAATAAGAAAAGAATAAGTTTGGCCTTAAATCGGGTTGGGTCGGTAATATAAACAATAAGCACATTTTTTATTTTTTCTTGATTTCAGAGAGCAGTTGAAACAATGATATTGACATTCGTATTATCGCTTGATTGTTGCCAAGGGGACTACTATACAATATCTTGTATTTTTAGAAATAAATTAATACCCGCGATACTCATGACATTTCTAAAGGTCACCTTTGGCGTTAGAGATTTTTATTTCGTGATATTAAATACATAAAATTTTCCATATTTTGACAATATTTTTCAATTTTTCGTACATTGGCGCATTATTGCTATGAGGAATATTAACTCTATAGTTTGCCGATCATTTTCTTTTTCTATTGTGGTTCACTCCTAAAAGAAACGAAACTCATCGCCACAGTGCTTAATTAAAAGAACAGACATCTTACGAGATTAGTTTTACGATTTTTTGTCTTGGTCCTGATTCGAGAGAAGAAATTTACTACCAAAAGTGCATATCTTGTATACATTTTAACAATAAACATTTTAATAATAAAACAATATTGCTCAATTCAATTCAAATTCAAGTTTACGAAATAAAATATATCAGTTCCTTGAAAAACTGTTATAAAATAAAATAAGACAAAAAGAATCTTTGAACTATTGTTGAACTCGATAATTTTGACTCCATGTTATGACCTATATTGCTCAGATTGGCAGTAAAAACTAATAGACCAAAGACAAACTCTAACCTAATATTCTTTTATTTCGTGGCAACATAGAAGGAACTAAAGAAGAGTAGGGTTAATTACGGAGCGCTTAACTTAGATCTGCCGCCTTCTTATAGAATTCTTCAACTTGTGGCGTATGTAGTTTTTCACGCAGAATCGTTAATTATTCGCATATAATTGACAAACACCTCGTATACAGTGTAAATGGATGGGATACAATATAGATATAGGGAACCATAGGAGATATAAGGTCAGTTAAATTAGGAAAATTGTACGTTTTAAAATGTGACACGTGAATCGTTTCTGATAAATTTAAGAAAATATAAAAAGTTAGATTTTCTATTTTTGTCTCGAAAGCCCAAAATACGTCAAAAATGATCCGGGGATTTTTACATTATTAGAACTTTTTTTTTAAGAATATGATGGCATAAAGGGAAATAGAATTTTTGATTTGTTTTCGAGATACACCATAATTTTTTAAATTTCCTTATGGCGACCATGTTGAACACTTTTATTATTTGAGCATAAAAAATGTTTTTAAATAGCAAAAACAGAATTTGATGTTTTTATAGTAGGTCATGTTCGCTCTCAAGAGACATTCCGAAAAACAAAAGTTTTGACAGTCCAATTAAATTAAAAGTTTTGGCACTGCAATTATTTCTATAAACATAGCAGTAAGCTTTGAAAAAATAAATGTCCTTATTGACAAATGTCTTTATTGACAGTTTAACTAAGGTACAATACGTATTAATCACTGAATTATGTTTTATAAATTTGAATTATTATTTGTTTATTTATTTCAATCTAATTAGTAAGCGATTCAAAGTTATTGCGATGTAATTGGTAAGTAAATTTACGTTATTGACTTTTCAGTTTTGAATAAGGAACAAATTTAATACTAGTTCAGTGTATGCGATCAGTGGACTGGCAGAACTTTTGTTTTTCGTGGGGCTTACTATTCAAAAAAATTAAATGTTTGCTTTGGTGCCTCTAAGCATGATAAATGCATCACATCATTCCAGCGCATTTTTTATGCTCTATCTATTAATTAAAATATTCATCATAATAAAATTTAAAAATCTATGGTGCTTCTTGAAAATAATTGAAAAAGTTCTGGTTTCCTTAATGTCATCATATTCTTCTTAAGAAAGTAGTGTTCTAATAATATACTAATACCAATATCATGTTTGGCGTATTTTCGGCTTTACAGACAAAATTAGAAGATCCAACTTTTTATATTTTCTCAAATTTCTCGGGAACGATTCACCCTCGAACCATTTTGTGGGCAAAACTTTCCTATTATAACCTGTGGTTTTCAATACCCCCATTCTTATATTGAACATACTGTATAGTCGATCGAACCAATCATAAACCCTAAATGTAAGAAACTTAATTATTTCAGCCCCTATCCAAGCGACACGTAACAATAGTAATTATTCCTGTCACAGTCCGATGACCCGCATACGTTCCAACGCACGACGATGATTTTTTTCCATTTCAACGCGCGTGTGATTATATTACCGATAGCGTAACTTCTCGTAGCTCACGGTTTATGTCGTCGTCGTCCATTGTAACGAGACGCCCTGTACAAAAGCCAAGAGAGGCACACCTACCTGAACGATCCTAAAAGCGAAGCGAAGCCGGTAGCAAAAGCGGTAGACTTTGGCTCCGCCGCGCCGCAAACAGACTTGCCACTGCGTAAAGTCTGAATCGGCGGGAGATCCGAAAAACAGTCGACAATCGTCGTCGAGACGAGACGGAAGTTTAGCGCCGCCGACTTGGATCGCATTGCTCGCGTAATTTTTCGCCGGGTTATCGTATTTAGTTAGGGGTGCGTTCTGTTTATCATGGTAAATGTTTCGAGCCAACGGTATGCGTACCAGAACGTTCGCAATTGAAAGTGGCCAGGGTGCCTTTCTGGCGAGTGCACACTCGGAGGTAATCTCCGTGGTGCAGCACACCGTAGTGATTCCCGGGTTTTATTGTAAGTCATACATCGATTTAATATTGCGTTGATTGTGTCATTCCGGTTGTACCACAAGGTTCCGTTACGTTGTTTTTGTAAAGTAAAAGTCGCTACATACGCAACATAACCTCGAACATCTCTAGTCCATATTTTTGAAATCTGTTAAAAATCGAACAAAGCAATATAAATAAATAAATAAAAAAAGATTCGGAAATTTAGCTCCAGAAAAAAAGTTTTTACACTAATTTGGCTGGGCCCAGGCCTCTCCTTGATGTCTCCAACATGTCCTGTTTTGTACTTCTTGCAACCAACTGCCTGTAATTCGTGTTATGCCATCCCGCCATCATATTTGTGGTCGTCCTCTGCTTCTTTTACTTCTACTTGGTATCCATTAAGTAAGTGTACCGTTCCATCTTTTGTCTTTCATTCTAGCTAAACTGGAATTCAGGAAAGACGACCATTAAGTTAGCAATGACACCAAGCGTATTCTTATGGCATTTGCTGTTGTGTCATCATTATTTCCTGATATATGTGGCCTATCCAATTCCATGTTAGGTCCGATCCTCAAGATTAGTCCCAGCATAGATGCTTCCATTTGTCTTTTGGTTGCCCTGCATTTCCAAGAATTGTAATAAATTTCGTAATTTCATATATCTTTAAAAATTCGCGAATATGTACATTGTTGCAGGACCTCATTATCAGCCATTTCCAAGTCTACTGCTTGACATAGGTCTCTGCTAGATGCTAGATCCTGTCATCGCACTGGTGGTCTTCCTCTGCTTCTTTTATCTGTTCTGGGTTTCCATTCGATAAGTCTGCTGCCGCATAGGTTGATTGGATTGGATTTTAGATATGTGATCTGCCTATTTCAATTGTAGTTCAAAGGCTCGAATATGACACCTGTAACTCATATGCTTATTGGGTAGATATAGCCTTTCCCTTTCGTTGGGTTACTCTTAATTTTAAATCACTGCTCTTTGTAAGTGTTATTGTTGTTGTTATGCTAACTATGGCTATCTATCACTTTTAAATACATCTTCAAGCATTCCAAATACTGCCCATGCCTGTGTTATCCTGGATATCTCGCATGTTAGTTTATTTCTACCCATTATTATATCAGGTTTATTTGTCAGTCAGTTCAATTTCTGTGTTTTGTATTTTGGGATGTTTACTTCATACTAAATTCGTAACGTATGGTTTGTTCAAATTTATTTTTGTTAGATATTGTCGCAAGTAACTTTTGCTGCAATTGCTGCTTATTAGAGGTACGTAACACAAATGCTACAGGGGCAATAGGCAGACAATGTCGTAGGCAAAAAGGAATTCTATGCATGGACACATTTGCGACAGCAACTCAACCAAAAGTACATAAATCCGCAATATGTGTTCCTTTAATGTAGCCTTGCCAGCGCACAACCCGGATGAAAATGGATTCACTTATCACTGAACTCCAGAATATCAATATTAAAATGTTTACTTTTAAATTATAAACTATACTCGATGGCCTTTATTAGTTCTTGACATTTTCTGCACGTTCTTGTGAACGTCAATATGCATAGTTCATATATTGTGAATATATTTTGGGACACGAGTAAGACTTTGTATTTATGTGTTGCAAATCCGTAATTACGCAGTATTTTATTCTTAATGTTTTTAATATTTACAGCTTGAAGTATGGGAATCGATTTAGCAGCACTATATTAATTAGGTAAACAATTTTACGATAATGATTAGACATTATTCGGTTTATTTCTTGCTCACCACTTAACAGTAGACGTTTTCTTTGAATAAAGCAGAATGTATGAGCTAAAGCCATAATTATTTACTGCTACAGAAATTCACAGGAATTCCATTCCACCCAATTTGAAAAATCGTCATAAGCATCCTGTCATCCTATTTGGACTCCTCGAAAGTAGTGCTGAGTGTAGATGAGCAAACTGCATTTATTGAGTTTTAAAAAAATCGGTCAGTAGGTAATAGTTATTATTGCATTTAGCTCGTTTTTGCTTTTTAGTGATGGCACCAAGTAAAGTATACTTTTCATAGCATTTTGAAAAACGTTTTGCATTTTTTTTCTTATTTTACACGTATCGACATTATATTCTTCCTAGGAGAGCTTGTTCTTCTGAAGGTAATTGTTAGTTCCAACCAATTACTTAGTGTTAGTTACTTTAGAGTTCAGGAAAAATCAGTTCAACTCTATAGCTGGAAAAAAAAATCGAGAGATAAAAGTTTTTACCGACAATTTTATTTTTCGTTTCCTGTCAGCATGTTTAGCTGCAACAATTTTTCGTCGATTGAAACTTTTCTACGTTTGAGGTTTCCTATGAGGATGTTATCGATAATGTTTTGCCTTGTGTTGATTAATTTTTCAGATGTCGTTTTATATCGGATGTTGCGGTATTGACGAAAAACCAAGCGAAACCGTTTATCGCGTTACCTCAATCCACATACTTTGGTAGGAAACGAAACCAGTTTGCCAGTTTTGTTGACCTTTTTGATGATATTTTTTAAAATTGCTATTGTAAGGCCGACGTTTCCTTGCGACATTTTCCGTTTGAGATTGTGAAATTTACCGCAACTTTTCAATTATAGGCCACTATTTTTAATTGAATAAAATTTTATTTATATAATTTGCAAAAAGTTATATCGGCACGCGTGCAGGTGCATAATATGCGCAAAGATGCAATAAGCAAGCTGCACGTATACCGGTTTATATATAAAGACCAAGAGCTATAAATAATGGCGTTTAATTGGGGTTTAAACGGATGAATCGCGAGTTGCGTCCTGTTAATCAAATCGAATTACTGTTCGAATGCGTTGCCACACGTGTGAAATGATTTTAATCGATCGTAATCTCGCAAGGAGACGATTATTTAAAAATTGAAGTATTGAATAGTTGTCGATAGTTTTATTCGAAGTTTCAAGACTGCGTTAAATTAATCTTTATATTCGCTTAAAACCAACAAGGGCAATTTCTAATAAAAGAAAAATGTATGGTCAATTATTTTTTCTCCACTTACTATCATAAAAATGTTTGGATGTTTTCAACTTATTTGCAAAACTAAAAAAGATATTTGGACACAGATTTCGGCACCTATATTTCAACTCTCAGTTTTTGCAAGGTCCATCCGCAAGATTTTCGTATTTTACCTCACTACGAAAGTGTATGCGATGAGAAAACCACCTCCCAGGTTTTGGATAAATATTTGCCCATATTTGCCCTATTTCCCTATAATTCCCCATATTCCATATTTCCTACATAAATATTTCTGATGTGTAACATTGTTGGCCTTCTTTTTTTTATTTTTTAATAATTAATATTAATAATTTCAATGGTTTATGCGAAATATCGGTGTACTAGTTAATTTTCAAAATTACATTTTTTTACTTATTTTCAGAGTGATTCAAGAAGTGCTTCGCTAATTCCTAAAGAATAGCCTTAGTTTTGGTTAGTTTGAGTAGAATGGAACGATTTAAGATGCCTAAATGAAATTTAGACCACAAATGCCTTTGGTGGGGTCATAAAAGTTATTGCAGACGAAATTTTAATTCAAAGTTTACAATGATTTTTCTCATAGTTATTTTTGGAACAATTATTAATCAGTGTACATATTAGAACCAACAAAATTTCTGGATGTTGGTATTTTTATCTGTTTTTATGGTATTGCAAGAAATATTAAGTTTTGCGAACTGTACGTACTGTGGACTGCAGTGGCCGTTGTTGTAGAGCCGAATTTATCATTTAAAAAAAATTGTTTGTTCTACTGATATGAAAATTTTATTTATCTTTTTTAGTATTCGTCATTGTGGTTCTCAGCAAGCGATATAATTTTTTTTTCTGTCATTTAAATGTCACTATTTGTACCACTAAAATTCGTGTTTTCTTAGTGAATGAAATGAAAACCTTTGCCGTTTTGCGTTTCGGTTTTTAGAAAAAAATTAAATTGATTCCTATGACAACGAATTTTTACAGACCGTTTCCTAGATCGTATGTGTCGATTAACAACAGGATTTTCCGATTAAGTCTCCGATGAAGTTTAGGATCGTTATTTTAAAGTCGAATTAATACCGATATTAGTGCTACAATTTTTTTCGAAAAACGTAAAATATTTCACCATCTGTTTGGAATTCGAAAAATTATAAATTAAAATATATTTTTCAAATTGGCAATGGCAAATTTCCTTAGCGTAAGGTATGCATTTTAAATGGTCATTTCAAGTTCAAAGTTACCTCGGCATTTTTAATTGCCAATTAGCGAAGTGAATTCAATTATTTGAGGTCAGTTTGATGAAGTGCCGAGTTAATTTTCGCGAATTCTAAGAACCTTTGAAGCGTCGGGCAATAATTTTTCATTGCTGAGAGAAAAGTTTCGTTACAATTCCCCTTGCAAAATAAAGTGATTTTATTTTGTTTTGGTTAGTCTTTTTCACGACTAGAAATATGACTTCCGCTAAAATCGAAGCCCGCGATAAGCTCCCAGTAAATAAAGTTGATCTACCATAAAACTCTCCTAAAACATAAAAAAATAAGGTGGCTCGGGCGTCTGGCGATGGGAAGTTGAATAGCCGGGATATCCCGAGGGAACTGGGCGACGGCGCAGGAACTTTTGCGCTGCATTTGCAGACTTTTCCCGCAAACAGAAAGAATCCTGCTCAAAACCACGTGCCGCTATAACTTAATTTTTCCGCGCTTTAGGAACTCGCTTCTTCAATGGAAAAATCCTCAATATCTCTCTACCGAAAGTCGAAGTTTGGAAATATCAAATGTAATTTACATTTATACAAGGCCAATTTAATCAGCAATCTATGAAAGCGAATTGGTCAATTAAATACTCGAAATTTCGCAAGCGTTCTTTTGAAGCTCCCGAGTGCCGTCTCAACTACCAAAACTTTCCATATAGCAACAATAAAACGAGAATTCCAACCCGTTTGAACTTTCGTCCCTTTCGTTCGCATAGTATAACTTCTACGAAAGGGGTTGATAGGATTTCGCGGATGACTATCGCACGATCAACC